ATCACCACAAAGCTGGGCGTCTTGTTAGTGTTTGTGCTTCTTGTAGACATTCTGGTGGGATGGAGAGACGTGGGTGCCTCAAAGTTTTTGGGGATGGGAGTAATTCTGACCTCTGGTGTTACATTGCTGCTTTCATTGTAGATTTTATCTCTGTTTGGTTCTTCTACACTTCCATTCAAGTGGCTGTAATCCACGCCATTGACTATGGGACCACTCGCATTGCTAGACGTACTGCAGGAACTAACCATGCTAGGCGTCCGAGACACAACCCTGATGCGTGGCTCAGGGGTCCCGCCACTGGACGACTCACTGGGGTTCCTTGGGCGGAGGGTGAGGGTGATGACGCTTCGCTTGGGTTGCGTCTGAGCAGCGTGGCCCTGGTGAGCCGCAAGCACCTCTGGAGTGGCAGGGTGGATTCGGACCTCCGGCGTCTGCTCCTCATGGCTGGGGTCGTCCTCACACTTATCAGGGGAAGGCAAGGGAGAATCCTCATACTTCTGGGTGGCCTTGTCTGCAACCTCTGGCTCAGCATGCCCATTCATCACAGGAGGTTCTGGTTTTGACGCATCGACGGAATCCTCCAGATCCTGGTCCCGCAGAGCCTGGCAACGTGAAATCAGGACCGTCTTTCCAGGAGAATTCCTCTGGACATCTGGCATCTCCTGATCACTGTCGGGGGCACTGGAGATGCTGTTCTCGCACTCCATATTGACATCCCCGTTCTGTGTTGGCAGAACTTCCACCTTTATGGTCTCGATCTTCAGGTTGGACTTGGGTGCCTCGTCACTGGGAGAGTCTTCGTCCTCGTGCAACGTGTTGGTTGACCTCCTCTTCAGAATGGGAGATTCCTGTAACAAGTGAAATCACATAAACTTTCCAATCCAATCCTCTTTGGCATAAAGTATCATTGAGATAATTATAGGAATAGCTTTAATAAAAGTAATCGTACCAAAACAAGGCACAGGTACTTAACAATAGGGATCATAGTCATAAAGCACAACAGTAAATCATATCATTAATTGCTTTCCAATTTTTTTTCCCCCCATTTCAAATCACCCCACAAATATGCAAAACAACATAAAGCCAGAGAACCTCGCTAAGATGACCCGACACAAGCACTAACCTCATGCGAAGCCAACGGTGCCTCAGTGTCTGACGCATGATCACGCTCTGTTGACGACTGTCTCTGTGTCCTGGCATTCACTGGCAGAGTTCCATACGACCGTCCTCTCTCAAATGGTGGCGGAGCTGGAAAGAAACACCCTGTGAAATAGGCTGCACAGCACACATAAGCAAGATGTTTGGCGCATTACAAGATGTGGCTGAACAGTGATTAAGCCTCCTATAATATAAATCAGTTTTCATCAGTGTTCAAGCAGGACTCAATAATGCTAAATAAATAATACCCTTCCCCAAAAAATCAATATACACAAAAGCACATATCAAAAAAGATCCTCTACATCACCTGTGCAAGCAAGACATTAGCCATCTCCACACAAGAGATCAACAAGCATCGAGAAACAAAGACACAGACACACACACAAAAGGACCTACCCTTCTTTTCACTGAAGGACTGAGGAATTAGAGTGGACGGCAGGTGAGACAGAGGGATGCGGTAAGCCCAGTGCTCGGTCCCGCCTTCACTACAGCTGTTGTTGATGTGGCCCGACTCACTCCGGCGCTGGGGTAAGTAGGAACGTCATGCGTCATTTAAGGGGGTTTGGCAACTTTATGAATTAGTTATATGAGGGGGATTATGCAAGGCGATAAGTTTATTATATGCTGTATATATGAAAAAGGAGAGGTGATTCAAAAAAAGAAAGGATTAACTCTTTAATCCTGGTTTCTCTGTTAAGGCTGTTTTTTACGGCATGTTACCCATGAGGTGATTATCAAGAGGGATGATATTATTAATTGCTATTAACGGAAGGAAGACCAAGGTTACTTTGAGCGTCATACCTGGTAGAAAAGAATGTACGCGTCTGGGGTGACCACATTCTCCTCCGCTGTAACTTCCACTTTGCTATCATCGAAATTATACCACTTGAAATCATTGCTAACATTAAAGTTATCAAGGAGAAATTCCAAACCGTTATCTCCTGATTTCCTCCCTCCCAGACTCAATATAACTACAGAATCATATAATGTAGTTACATAATCTATAATCACTATGAACCTCTATACTATCATAAATTTAATCATTATTTTGAGCATTCCTGTTAACACATTTGGTTAACTTTATGAGCACTTATCTTCCAGCATCAGAACTGTCATCAACTCATTTGCATATAACTGTATTATAGTTTGAAATCAACTGGAGCTTTAAATGATGTTTGACAAGGCTCATGAGCTAATACAAATCTTCAAGAACACTATTCCTTTTGCCAAGAAAAAGGAAGGAGTATATATTATCGACCTCTTCTTCTTGCTATCTCTATTTCTCTCTCCCTCTGGTCCTCCTCTCCTTCTCTCCCCCTCCCTCCTACAACCTCAACTATTTCTTATACTCCTCTCTCACCCTCTCCACCTTTCCCTCTTTCCCCTACCTCCCTTCCCTCCCCTCTCAGAACTCTCCTGAACCCACCTGTATAGTGTCCGCCTTGCATGTCCTTGCCATGGTGGTTGCATACTGCATAGAGGTCATACACGTTCTCCTCGTTGTGGGGGACATATCGCTTCGGCCGCTTCCAGGGCGACCACACTCCCCCTAGCACACCAGAGTCTACATTGTTCTGTGTGTTGTTGCCGCTCGTCCGGCTGGCCACATGTTCCGAGATGTCGAAGCCCATCAGGGGGAACTTGACTGTTGTTGACAGCTTGGAGGAATTGCTCTGTAAGGTTCCCTGGAAGAATATGGAAAGGACTTATGCAATTTCTTTAATGCCTGACACATGTATGCAAACTTCATATAAAATACCTATGATAATAACTATTAACAGTAACCATCATATTATGATGGAGGAGGAGGAGGAGGAGGAGGAGGAGGAGGAGGAGGAGGAGGAGGAGGAGGAGGAGTAGGAGTAGGAGTAGGAGTAGGAGTAGGAGTAGGAGTAGGAGTAGGAGTAGGAGTAGTAGTAGTAGTAGTTGGCAGTTCATCCAGAAGCAGGATTAGAGGTCAAGAAATAGAAAAGGACAAAAAATAAGAATAAGAGGAGGAGAAAAGAGACAAGGATGAAAGACAAGAAAGGATGCAAGCTCACCTGTCTAAAGCGCTTGAGGTGTATCACAAGGATCTGTGGGGCCGACCAAAGCATGAGTCTCTTCACCACCTGCTGCTTGCGGTTACAAGTTGGGCAGTGCCATGCGTCGCCACAGCCAAGCTTTTCTGCCGACGTGTGAAGCTGCCAAACAAATGGATGGACATAAGAATGGAGGCCTTTAGTCATAATAATAATGATAATAATAATAATGATAATAATAATAATGATAATAATAATAATGATAATAATAAATAATGATAACAATAATAGCAATTATAACCTTATTAACACAATTACTACATATGTATGTTTTCTCTCCTATAGTTTTATGTGAATTTTGTTATAATACAGATGGCTCCACATGTACTCTGCCAGCAAGGAGTCTATCAGTAGGCCCTAGTGACTGTTCCTGATTTCCCTATTCATTGAAATTGTGGAAAAAATGGGTTTTTCTTTCTAATACTATTTATCTCTATAGTGTTATTAATCTTATTGATATTATGACTATTTAAAAATCTTGGTAACATTAAAGAAATAATACAAAAAAATCCAAAAATCAAGGAAAGAGTAAACAGGTGAGATAAATGACTCCTTGATACTTGTAGAGTCATCTATGTCTAAATACAATAAATTAACTTGTATTACAGTGGGCATGGCATGTATTCTTGCCATCCATGCTGATTGGGTTAAACCACAATCATTTTATATCAAAGAAAGTTTTTTTTTTTCTTTGGAGAAAACTGGGCAGTCTACTATACCATTGGTATACCAGCTATCGTGCCATGAAGAAATTCTGCTTGAGGGGCAGGTGACATTTAGTGTAGTCATGGGAAAATATGGCTGAGGGCCAGGGTGACAGGAATTAGCCATCATGAGAATTTCAGCTGAAGGCCAGAATAACAGGAAGGGGCTTTTACATTCCACTGATAAAGAAGCACCGGCTCCAGGGAACGCGTTATTTCCATGCTCAGGTTATATTACAGAAAACTGAATGTTATGAAATTTTTTTTAAATACACAAATAACAGTGTTATTTACACATAACACTAACCTACAAGCTCCACACCTGGCATATTTTAGCATATCTAAATCAACTATACTCCCACATAATCATATTTTTCCTCTCTTCACCTAATGCATCAAAACTGAAAGGAAACTCAGAAAAGTTCATTCTATAAAAAAAAATAATAATAATAATCATAATATACACCTTGGAAAATATCCAGGCTTATAGTGGAAAACTAAAACAAACATTAACCCCTATGATATGGATGATATAACCATAATGTCATGAAAAAAATTAGCCTTAAAGGGCAGGTGACGTGAACGTGTCATGGAAAAATTTGGCTGTGGGCCAGGGTGACAGGAATGACTCATCATGAGTGCACAATGCTCTTGGGGGGTGATTAGACTCATTTGGCATTCAGGAAGGTAATTTTGTATTATTTGCACTCTTTCCATCAATAAACATGTGGAGTGTATGAACTCCAGGAAGGATGCGGTTTCTGTGCTCAGGATCTAATTAGTGCAGAAAAGAAAAAATCACTTTGCAAAATGGAGGATGGAGTCTTGTGCGCCTGGCCTACAAGCTGTACACCTAGCAGAGTAGCCGCTCAAGTAAGCCTAATGCCCATATTTTCGGGCACTCTATGTTAGTGGAGCATCTGGATCCAATGGGTTAATAACAGCAAAAAATAATGACCACAATAATAAATAAATAAATAAATAAATAAATAAGTGATCATAAGTGTCTTTCTTCTTTTTTTCCATTTTCTTGAAAACAAACACTCACTCACTCACACTCACTCACACACTCACTCACACACTCACTCACACACTCACTCACACACTCACTCACACACTCACTCACACACTCACTCACACACTCACTCACACACTCACTCACACACTCACTCACTCAACCCAACTTGCAAGTATGGCAAGAATGCCATGCCCACTGTAATATAAGTGTATTTATTGTATTTACACACAGATGGCTCTAAAAGTGCTTAGTCACTAAGGAGTCAGTTATTAGTCCTACTTGCCTCATCTCATTAATGTCAATAGTATTAAAAAGAAAAACACATTTTTCTGCTAGTTCAAGGAATCAGGAGCCGCCACTTGGGTCTACTGATAGACTCCTTGCTGCTGAGCACATTTCACAAAAAACTACAGGGGGCAGTACATAAATCTGTAGTGACTGGGTTAATCCAGGGTGATCTATCATGACATGGCTGACTGCCCCTTACACTGGGATATTGGCCCATCATGTTATGCTCTTAGTTGTGCATGCTGAACAATTGTTTGCTAGTTTGGCCTTGGCTGTGGTTATTGAAGAGGAACCACCTCTCAAAAGTATGATTAAATCTCCTTTTTAACCTCATTACATAAACAATCATATAATTCAGAGCAAAGAGTTAATTTCTGTTTCATGCACTTCCAATTTTTCTCTAGAACAGCTGATTCTGCTCATACCCCAGCAAGTGGTTTGGCATGGCTCCGGGAGCTCCCATTGTGAATTATTAACATTATTAGTATCATTATTAAAATTATTATTATCATAACATTAATTGCAAACTAACATTAAAAAAAAAAAAAAAAAAATCACAAAATATGGTAAACAGGTGAGATCATGTAGGCCTAGTAACTAACTCCATGATGATTCACCAATGCATAACCAAAATTAATAAACTAAAATAAAAGCCACCCCAGCACCACTGGGATGGCCCCAAGCAAGAGCTCGCAGCTGCTGTAATTCCCACCTGTAAACACTGGTGTAGTGACACAGATGCACACTGCTGTGGGTTCTCCTTGAGGTCCTTCACACTCGCGTGCACATCCATGTGGTCTACATCATCAATAATGTACCTGTACGGAAAGAAAGGTTGAGTTCCTTGTTCCTGAATTGGTGTTTTATCTTTCAGCACACAAATGAGAACAAGTGTGAAAAGAAGAGTCTTCTACTCCCATTTTACTGAATTCTCAAAGTGCAATGCCTATTTAAATGCATGAAAAGTTTAAGTTGTTTTCATTTTGCTTTATTTCTGTGGCCTATAAAAGATCTTTACCGAACCTGAGAGACCTGTGGAGTAAGCCAATAACAGAGGGCAAAGTCACTAAAATACACTAAAACAATTTTATAATATCAACAATAATAAATATCAGCAGTGACAAAAATAAGTATGATCATCTTTACATTAATCATTACAATAAAATATTCTGGGAATCCTCATCTGCAATTATGAAATGGAAGATAGTTTCAGTACTAAGACTACACTATGGAATAACTAAATGTCACACCTTAAAAGAAAAACCTTAAATCTTAAGATTTTTAAATATCTCCCTGGTATTTGTTAACCCATTTCCCTTGAAAGATATATAAATAAAACTAAGAAGCATCGGTAATGAATTTGGGGATATCTTTATAAATCTATTCTTACACATTAAAATCCTGTTCATCTGTGTTATGATGTCCTTCCCCCTCTCCCCTCCTCCTTCCATCCCTACCACTTTTCCTACCACTATTCCTCTCCCCCTCTCCTCTCTTCCTTCATCCCTACCACTTTTCCTCTCCCCCTCTCCTCCTCCTATCCCTACCACTCTCCCTTCCTTATTCTCCCATACCTATCTCCCCTCCCTTCCTCTCTTCTCCTCCCACCAACCCTCTCCCTCCCAATCATCCGCCTTTCCTTACTTTTCTTTGGTTTCAGACGTCCACTGTAGGATCAGCTTCACATGCGGGGGCCCTGCGGAAGGTTCACAGAGTGCCAACGCCTGCTCCACACTCTCATGGAACAGTGGCACGTCAAGAGCCGGGTCCAGGCAGACCACACAACTTCCTCCATCATCGACACCGATTAGGAATAGTCCACTCTGTCGCGAAAATTAACAAATGTAAATGGGATGTTTCAGCAAAGGAAAAGGTGGTGGAGTGGGAAACAAGGAAGTGAGTTAGAAGGGAAAGAGGAGCAATAAAGGACAAAAAAGTGGCAAATGTGAAAATTATATTCAATAGTATAATCTCGAGCTTTAAAAGATAGGACAAATAAGGGGAAGAAAGTTTATAATCTTTTAAGATCATTAGGCTCATTTTCCTCACCACCAACAAAGTTCAAAATCTTACTTCAAATTTTCACACTGTATAGGGACAGTAAAGATTAATTGCAAAACAATATATATAAACAAAAATCCTGTTAAAATCTCTAATGTTCCTCACCTCTTGTTCTGAAGTCAGAGTTTCGTTGGTGACCATATTAGTCATCTCTTTGAGCAGTAGCTTTTGTAGGTCTACGTAACTGACATCTCTCACCACCTGACTCTGATAAACACCACCAAATCTGAAAGAGGAGAAAATATTGTTTATCTACTACCACAGTCATCCTTACTTTTATTAATAGTAGTGGCTTAACTTCTAAGAACTAGACTACTTGTAAAAATACATAAGTCAGAGGCAGGGCTCACTTTGGCCAGCAACAAATGGAGGAAAATTTTCCTTAACCTTTGTTTCTTCTTCATCAAATAAACGATAACTTCCATTAAAACTAAAATAATCAGTCAGCCTATTAATTACAGGCAGTTTATATGACAAAACAAAATAAACACCCTTTTCCTCTTATCCGTACTCCCTCAGCAAAGCCCAAATACCTCCCAAATAATATGAAGCAAATAAGTAATGAGGTAGAGAACAAAAGTAAATCATAAATAAACCAATCAATTAAAAAAATAAATAAAATAAAATAAAATAATAATAATAATAATAATAATAAAAAAATAAATAAATAAATAAAAATCCACCCTGAACAGAAAAACCAAGACCCCTAGGCCCCCACACAACCATTTCTTACCTAATGTTGTCTGGCTCGGCAAGTACCACATTGACCCAAGTGACGAGGATAAAGGCACCACTGTCCTGGGAGGGGGGTTTGTGGGGGGGCAGCTCGATGGCGTACACTGGGTCGGTCTCACTGATGACGTTCACTGATGTATCATCTGTGAGAAGAGAGGTGCATTTTAACGTTTTTTATTGCAATGCCTTGTGGTTCATCGCTTTTTGCATATGATGTATTCTACAATTTTAATTTTATTGTGGAGGCAATAGATCAAAAATACATAAGATGAACAAAATATATATATTTTTTAATCTAGATGTATTCAACATTAACCCAATGCCGCTGGGTGTGACGTGTACGTACGTGCTATGCCACTGTGAGTTACTTGTTTGATTATTTTTACACATAGATGGCAACACTTGTACTAAGTCACAATGAGCCATTTACAAGTACTGCCTGTCTCACCCGTTTTCCCTTTTCTTTGATTTATGAAATATTTTACATTATCTTATTTTGCTGTTACTAGTGTTAAAAAACATTATAATAATTATGTTTATAATAAAAATTACAACATCGATATTAATAGCACTTGGGAAAAATACGTTTTCCCGCCATTTCAAATCAGGCACTGAAATATCTATGGGCAGATATTTCACAAAAATATAGAAAATAGGCAAAGCATTTTCCCCATTTTTTGTTAATTTTCCCGGTGGCATTAGGTTAAACATATCATGCATGAATTATATTAAATGTTGACATAACATAACATATAACAAAAAAAAAAAATCATAATCTTAATGGACTTTACCATAAGATATATCAACACATCCTTTTAATAATCAAGAAATTTCTATTTTTCTATCTTATAAAACTATATCAACATATCTAAATTATGAAATATATTTCTGCACAAAACGACACACAGACCCAGCATAGCAGCCCAAAAGATACAAAGACAAAGCCTATTTGCACAAATCTCGCACAGTGGCAGGACCTGAGGATTGTGCAGCTTCGTGTTTCAATTGAAACAGATATATTTAGAGCCACTTATTCCTCCGTGCCTCAATTTCTTCCATCCCCCACTTGACCTCAAATAATAAAGGATTTTTATCTATTATCAAAACCTATTCAGATCCAATCATCAATTTCAATACATCCATCAGCTTTCACCTTGTAAAAGAAACACAGCCATGCATACATATATACAAATGCACAGATTTCCTGATTTATATTGTAATACTCAACCTTTCTTAATCTTTCATTCTCTTCAACACATTTTGACACTAACAACAGTGTTTGTAACTATCAAGCATGCTTCAGTGTGTGTGTGTGTGTGTGTGTGTGTGTGTGTGTGTGTGTGTGTGTGTGTGTGTGTGTGTGTGAGAGAGAGAGAGAGAGAGAGAGAGAGAGAGAGAGAGAGAGAGAGAGAGAGAGAGAGAGAGAGAGAGAGAGAGAGAGAGAGAGAGAGAGAGAGAAAGACAGAGAGAGACAGAGAGAGACAGAGAGAGACAGAGAGAGACAGAGAGAGACAGAGAGAGAGAGAAAGAGAGACAGAGAGAGACAGAGAGAGACAGAGAGAGACAGAGAGACAGAGAGACAGAGAGACAGAGAGACAGAGAGACAGAGAACCAGAGAACCAGAGAACCAGAGAACCAGAGAACCAAGAGAACCAAGAGAACCAAGAGAACCAAGAGAACCAAGAGAACCAGAGAACCAGAGAACCAAGAGAACCAAGAGAACCAGAGAACCACTACCCCTCCCCTCCTAACCCCTACCCCCCACCCCTCAAACCCCACACCATCCCCTCCCCCCAAAGGCCCCTCCCATCCCTCCCCCTCCGCCCAACGGCCCCCACCAACTCACCGGCAAACGTCCTGTGGAATCCCTCGCCGTCTACCTCCGTCAGGATGAGGCTCTCCGCGGAGATCCCACAGTCCTCCGACAGCTGTTTCCTCAGTTCCCGGATCGTTGCGTTGGCTTCTATGCTTACGCCTAGCTGGACCTGCGGGACGGGGGGGTCTGCGTTAGATTTTGGGTCCGGTTACCAAGGGCTTGAGAGATGTCGATTGGAGACAGAAAATTGATCTGTTCAGCTTCAGAGGAACTAATGAAGTAGGATTTTTTTGATTTTATCTTTCTTTTTTTTTTTCAATTTATTAGTACTACACTTTTTTTTCTCTTGAAGGTCAAGCAGACGGAAAAAGAGTAATTTGCATTTGATAGAAAAAACAACAAAATAAGTGATCCTTAAAAAAACACCTTTACCTTGTCTATAACAAGCAACAAGTTGTCTTCACATTCTTCCCCACTAATAAAACCTTCATACAGACATGGGCAAAAAATCATCTCCAAAGAAAATTATGACAACAATAATAGTAACAATACTAATAACTAATAACAATACTAATAACTAATAACTACTACTACTACTACTACTACTACTACTACTACTACTACTACTACTACTACTACTACTACTACTACTACTACTACTACTACTACTACCACCACCAATAATAATAATAATGATAATAACAACAATAATTATAAAACCAATAGTATAAAAAATAGTAGTATCAATACAAAATAACAATAAAACTAGTAATGATAATAACAATAATACTAATACTAATACTAACATTAATACTAACACTAATACTAACAATAATAATAATAATAATAATAATAATAATAATAATAATAATAATAACAACTCGAAAGACCGACCTGCTTAGGCTGCTGGTTGAGGTAGACGACGGTGGCGAAGATGGCCTGCACCTCCCTCTGCGGGATCGGGATGGACACGCACAGGAACGGGTCGAAGGTGTTGGACTCCTTGTTGCAGTGCGGACACTTCAGCGAGGAGCGGAATTGAGCCTGCAAGCACGGGAGGGGGTCACAAGGGGGGTGTAACCGGGGGGGGGGGGGGGGGGAAGAAGGGGGAGAAGGGGGTGTAAGGAGGGTGAGGGAGGGGGGGAGAAGGGGGTATAAGGGGTGAGGGGTGAGAAGGGGGTATAAGGGGGAGGGGGTGAGAAGGGGGTATAAGGGGGGAGGGGGGAGAAGGGGGTATAAGGGGGAGGGGGTGAGAAGGGGGTATAAGGGGGGAGGGGGTGAGAAGGGGGTATAAGGGGGGAGGGGGTGAGAAGGGGTTATAAGGGGGGAGGGGGGGAGAAGGGGGTATAAGGGGGGAGGGGGTGAGAAGGGGGTATAAGGGGGAGGGGGGGAGAAGGGGGTATAAGGGGGGAGGGGGTGAGAAGGGGGTATAAGGGGGGAGGGGGTGAGAAGGGGGTATAAGGGGGAGGGGGGGAGAAGGGGGTATAAGGGGGAGGGGGGAGAAGGGGGGTGGGGGTGAGAAGGGGGTATAAGGGGGAGGGGGGAGAAGGGGGTATAAGGGGGAGGGGGGGGGGGGGGCGAGAGGAGACTTCAATGAGGGAGAGGGTGAGAAGTAGAGTATAAGGGGGAGGGGGAGAGGGTGAAGGGGGGAAGAGATTTCAATGAGGGTGGGGAGTGAGATGGGGTATAAGAGGGGGGGGGGGGGGGAGCCGATAAGGGGAGGGGGAGTGAGATGGGGTATAAGAGGGGGGGGGGAGCCGATAAGGGGAGGGGGAGTGAGATGGGGTATAAGAGGGGGGGGGGGGGGAGCCGATAAGGGGAGGGGGGGTGAGAAAGGTACATAAGAAGGGGGGGGGGGGCAGGCGATAGGAGGAATTTCAATGGGGGGAGGAGGGGGTGAAGGTGTATAAGGGGAGGGGGGGGGGTTAAGGCGATGAGAGGAAAGCTCAATGAGAGTGAGAAGGGGTATAAAAAGGTGGGGGGGGGGGGGGGGCGAGCATAATTGTAATGGTAATGGTGATCATGTGGCGATAATTGAGGACAATGCTTACGTCGGTGATCATAATACGAACGAGCGCCATGAATACATAATGATCCAGTCTATAACAATAATACGAAGTTTGATATTTCACTTGATAAGCCTGCGACACAAAACTTGGTCACTTATTCACTCATTCACTCACTCATCCTTTCCCCACTCCCACCCCCATCCCAGTGCTCCCACTCCAACCCCCTCCCCTCCCGCCCTCCTCGCCTCCCCTTTTCTCCACTACCTTTCCTTCCCTCTCCCTACCATTCCCACTCTCCTCTTCCCCTCCCACCCCCACTACTACTCACCCCTCCCTCTCCCTCTCCCCCCTCTCCCTCCCACTACCCCATCCTCTCCCTCTTTCCCTTCCTCCCTATTCTTTCCACTCCCCCTCCTCCTTTACCTATCCCACTCCCTCCCTCTCTCCCCCCACTCCCTCCCTCTCTCCTCCCACTCACTCACTCACTCACTCACTCACTCACTCACTCACTCCCACTTCCTCTCCTTCCCACTCCACTCCCCATTTCCCATTTCCCACTCCCACTCCCCTTCCCTTCTCCCTTTTCCCTCCCTCCCCTTCCCTCCCTCTCTTCCCCCTCCCCTCCCCTTCCCCTCTCCCCCTCCCACTCGCAATCTGCAGCCAGCCCTTCCCCCCGGCGACGCAGCAGCTCCCTCCCCCCCCCCCTCCTTGAACCTATGCTGCGTCACGCGTTCCAATTATTAATATGTTTGCAGTGAGAAATCGACTACTTGACGGATGCACTTTGGCTCGGGGGAAGAAACGGCGTCTCAGCCCCAAAGCCCGAGCTGAACTTTGCAGAATGCCCAGAGGAAACAGAAGAGAACGGTTTGTTTCTCCATTTTGTGGTTTGGTCGTAGTTCTGTTATTCTTTCTGGTTTACATGTATCAACATCCCGTAACCGGTCAGTCAGTCTTGTCACATGCAGCCTTTCTTATTTTGTCTGTCTCTGTCCCCCTATCTAATTGTCTCTGTTTCTCGGTCTCCCTCCTTCCTGTACTTCTGTCTCTCTCTCCCTTTCTCTCCCTGTCCCTCCCTCTCTCCCACCCTTCCTTCTCCAACTCTCCCTCCTGTAACTCTCCTTCCTCCTCCTCTCCTCTAACCCACCCTCCATCCATCCTCCCTCCTTCCCGCCCTCCCTCTAACCTTTCTCCCTCTCTCCCTTCCCTCCCTCCTTCCCTCTCTCCCTTCCCTCCCTCCTGACTCTTGTTACACATCCACTCTCAAACACAAACCCTTTATATTGGCAAAATGAACATTATCGTTATCAATATCAATATCAACATCAATATCAACATCAGTATCTGTATCCCCCAAGAGCCTCACCTGGAAAATTTCGTGTATAAAACTGCTATTACATCTGAGGTGGTTGGCCAGCGTCTCCGCAGCCACGACTTCGTCCGGCCGCCCGTAAGTATTCTGCAAAGAAAGTGCGCGAGTCAATAAAAGAAGAAAAAGAAAACGAGAAACAAAGCTTATTATGACAGTAAAAGAAAAAAACAAAACAAAGCTTATGTATTATGTATATGAAATGGTGATTAAAATAACTAAAAAGTGCATCGAGTAGGCCTACTAACTATCGAAACGGTCATCCTGTAGGCCTACAAATTAAACAGAATTATTATAATACTAATAACTGAAGACATCAGGCACTAGAGGAAATGTCTCTTACTTAATATATCTAATAATATCAACAAGACAAATTGCAATCGTGCGTCACACCTTTTCCTCCTTTTTTCGCTACATATCTAACGTAATCATAACGATTATGAACAAAATACGCAGTCACACAAAACCAGTAACATAAATATACGAGAACCATCTAATAATAATCTAACAAGAATATATAAGTAAATATGATCATTGCACACATCAAAATACACCATTACCATCCAACAAAATAACCCACAAACGCACATCAATGTCACAAAACACACACACCACAAACAAACATTTATATCATTGTCACAAAACACACACACCACAAACAAACATATCCATCATTGTCACAAAACACAAACACCACAACAAACACAAACAACCGCAAATTCCAACGGCCGAGGGAATGATGCGAAGTAATGACAAAGATAACCTTTATCAAACTTCTACCAATGACTAAAAGTGAGTAACGGTGAGTCACCAATATTCAACATAAAAGCCTAAGCTGCCACTTCACGCTTGGAGGACGAGGTAAGGTTCCTCTAAAGCAGTGGGTCAAAATAAATAAATAGGTGATTACATGAGTAAATGTTGATATTAATACTAGCAATAATGATATTGACAATAGTAGTAACGATAATAATGGTAATGCTAATAATATTGATAATAATAACTATAACATCAATATCAACATCATCATCGTCATCGTTATTGTCATCGTCATCGTCATCGTCATCGTCATCATCGTTATCATCATCTTCATCATAACAACCAAACGGAATCTCGAAATCACCAACAGACGCCCTCGTATTACGCAACGTAAAAAACAACAAAAAAACAACGTCGCATCCCCCCTCCCCCTCCTCCCCCATAAAAAGGGGGGGGGGAGACTCCGCCATGAGAAAATGATGGTCGGGAGCCAGAACGACATTTAAATCGACATTTAAACACGATGCTGAAGCAGAGAGGTGTTGTCATTACTCTCTATCTATCGTCCTATCTATTGAGCCTCTCTCTCTATCTATCGTTCTATCTACTGAGCCTCTCTCTATGTCTCTTAATTTTATCACCCTTCTTATTGTCTGTATCATTCCAATGCGCGCGCGCGCGCGTGCGTGCGCATTTGTGTGTGTGTGTGTGTGTGTGTGTGTGTGTGTGTGTGTGTGTGTGTGTGTGTGTGTGTGTGTGTGTGTGTGTGTGTGTGTGTGTGTGTGTGTGTGAGCGTATGCGTATGTGTATGTGTATGTGTATGTGTATGCGTATGCGTATGCGTATGCGTATGTGTATGCGTATGCGTATGTGTATGCGTATGTGTATGTGTATGTGAATGTGAATGTGTCAGTGTCTCTATGTGTGCATGTATGTGTGCGTGTGTGTTTATGTGTATGCGCTCCTAACTTGATACTGACGAAAGAGCAGGTGAATTCCCCGCAAAGATAACGGGAACAAGATAAAGGGAGAGGGGATGGGGGGGGGGGGGTGAGGACAACGCGATCTGACACAAATCTTCGACGCAGATTGGCGAAATTGACGTTTAATTCTTTCTCTGCTCACTTCTTTTCAGCTTGCCTCTTTCTGAATGCTGGAGGTTACAGCAACAGCAAGAACTGCATGAGTGTCTGTCTGTCTTTCTTTCTGTCTGTCTGTCTGTCAGTCTGTGTGTCTGTCTGCCTGTGTGCCTGAGTCTGTCTGTCTATCTGTCTGTCTGTCTGTCTGTCTGTCTGTCTGTCTGACTGAACGTCAATCATCATCATCTGTCTGCCTGTCTGTCTGTATGTGCCTTGAAATACTGCTTTATAAAAAAGGTATATTTTTTTCAAACGAATGGACGGATGCATAACCAAATTACATTGAACTAATTATAATCAACATTGGCCCGCTTCGCATTACGGAAATCGACTTACCAGCTGCAATGTGGCATTTTTCTTATTTACATAACTTCACTCACTTAACCACGGTCAACTTCATTTCGAATCGCAATTCAAATCAGCGTAATTCTAACGATCGGCCGAGCGGCGGGGAAAACCCCCCACGCCACGTCCGAACACGTGCATCAGAAATGAGGTATCGGCGACGACAACAACGAAGGAAAAATAATTGTGCCAGAACTTCAAGGTCGCCCCCCCCTCCCACCCCAAACGCCCAATCCCTAACCCCCCTCCTCCCCTACCCCGGGGCACAGGAAGTGGGGTGAAACTGAGACGAGAAGAGCGCCCAACTAGTGGCGCCGCCCACATGCCCGAAAGAACTTCCTCGTTATAATGCCAGGTCATGCCGAAGGCGAGGCCGAACGCGAGGACACGAACGCGCCGAAGAGGGAGAAATGGCGCGCGCGGGAAAGTCGATGAAATGAATGAAAAAAAAACTACACAACACGCAATAACGCAAACAAAGATCAATACAAAAAACGTCTTGCCAATCACATTCCCGTATAGTCAGTCGGCCGCAAGACACCTCAAGGACATCGGGTTTATCGGCGATGCATAAAAAGAGAAACAAAGGGCTCCGGGCATTCATTTTGACCGCAGACAAATATCCCAAACAGTCACAACTTCAGGAAACAAATTCCCGACATAATTCTGCACAGTATACTTACGTATACATTGGTGGTTGAAAATATAGTTTATTTACCAGCGAACCTAACAATATACACAATAATTTATAATGACTATCATCATTATTATCATTATTATTATTATTATTGTTATTATTATTGTTATCATTATCATTATCATTATTATTATTATTACTTTAGCAGTAGTAGTAGTAGTAGTAGTAGTAGTAGTTTATATATTATTGTTATGGTTGTTCTTGTGATTATTATAATAATTTTTATTTTCATCATCATCATCATCATTATACTTACACAGTTACCATCATCATCATCATCATTATTAAGCTTACTATTCCTGATGTTTTTTTTATCATTTTCATAATCACCCTAACACCATTATCATCACATCTTTATCCTCATCCTCATCTTGAATAAATACCTCGCCACATACGCACACCCATCAAGCATTCAGCGCCCGCCGCCCGCCCGCCGCCCGCCGCTAGTACTGACGCCACCGGAGAACAATTGCGAGTTCGATCACGCCCATGACGTAAGGTTGTCGTAACCCCCACCCCCTTTTTATCCATGAGTTCCTTACCTCACTGCCTCCTTTGTCCTTTACTCCCTCCTGTTACCCTCCCCCTTCTTCCTTTCCCCCGTCCCGTCCCCTCCCTTCCCCCCTCCCCTCCTGTCCCCTCCTTTCTTCCCTCCCCCGTACCGTCTCCTAAAATTCTTCCTTCCTCCTTCCTGTTACCCTTCACTGTCTCTCTCCTCAGCCCTCCTCTCTTGCCCTTTATCGCCTTCTCCCTCCCACCCTCTCTCACCTCCTTCCTTCCATCCTTCCTTCCTTCCCTCCCTCCCTCCCTTCCTCCCATACTTTCTCCCTCCCTCCCTCCCTCCTTCCCTCCCTCCCTCCTTCCCTCCCTTCCTCCCTCCTTTCCTTCCTCCTTCCCTTCCTCCCTCCCTCTCGCCCCTCCCCCGCCCTCCTTCCACCCCCTCCCTCTCCTTCCACCCCTCCCTCCTCCCTGTTTCCCTCCTCCCTTGCCCTTCACTCCCTCCCCCTCCACCCCCCCTCAACTCCCTCCCCCTCCACTCCCTCCCCCTCCCGCTTCCCTCTCGTGCCAAGTTTCCCGACGTCATCCATCTATTTAAGAGATATACACAAATAAAACAAACAAACAAATATCCAAAATAGTTTAAATTCCTTTGCCTTCCTGTTCTCAGCTCTTTGTTTGACCGACTGTGCTCGCCAAGAAAATTATTTTATGAATGAAGGAGTGAATTAAATAATAAACATGATTATGGCGATGAATAATGATGGTGATAACAACAACAATAAGAACTACAACATCAATGACAATAATCATAAAAATAACAAGAATCGTAATAAAAATAACAAGAATCGTAATAAAAATAACAACAATCACAATAAAAAATAACAACCATAAGAAAGCTACATCAATATCATCAGCCAAACAACGCCGATACACCCCCCCCCCTCCAAATTAGTAAAAAAAATAATAAGAAGAAACAAACAATAATTTCTAACCTTTTCAGCATTCGCAATCCTCATTACCAAGTCGCTTCATGGTGCCTTGAACACTATTCTGTACACATTTTTTTCCCCTTCCGTGACACTTTCACTCACCTTTACGTGTCCGTGACATAACCCTTTTCCCCCTCCCTCCCCTCCCCTCTCCACTCCACTCCACTCCTCCCCTGCCCCTCCCCTCTCCTTGCCCTTCCCCCCTCCCCCCCCACATCACATCCCAACCCAACACCTCGGCATTTTTGTTGTTGCTGCTGCTGTTGTTGTATTTTTGGCCGTTATTTCGCTTGTTATTATTGTTGTTGTTGTTGCCCCGGCCACCGCTGTTGCTACTGCTGTTGCCCGCCGTTGTCACTGTTATCTTTGTTATTCTTTCGCCCGTTTGTCGGTGTTATCGTTATTGCTTTGTTTCTTACTGCTGGTGATGCTGATTTTTTTTTTTCACCTGAGCTAATCTAAACGCGTAATGAGCGAGATGAAGTCTTGTACTACTGAAGGCAGTACAATAGCACAATGAACCACGCACCTTTCTCTCCAGTACTAGTCCCAGTAACAGCAACCATCACACCCAGTCATAGCAGTCGCAGCAGAAGAAACAGTCATACTAAGCTTACGTGACTAAGCTTCCTTTGTTGTCGGTCATGCAGGGAAGGGTAA